CATTTTGGTGTAATTGTGATTCACTCGAGATCAATTAACATGATAAGGCAAACATAAGTGAATTAGGAGGTGCAGAGAGCACATTCACTAGGTATAATTCTAGGTGAGTTTGATAAGATATCTGATCATTCAGATCGAAGGCTTTAATTTTTCTAAGTGTTAACTCTGAACGAGTAAGTTCAAAGATTTGGACTTTGAGTCCAGACTTAGGAAAATTGCCCGTCTTAACTCTGAACGAGTGAGTTCAGAGATATGGACTTTGAATCCAGACTTAAGAACAATGAAATAGGTTATGGATTTTTATCCAACAATGAAATAGCCTAATAATATGGAGAAGAAGAAGGAGATGATGATGTTGATTACGGAGAAGAAAAGTTTTCTACTTGACCATTTATTCCCCTTGCAGATTGTTTTGGCTGGACTTGTTTTTTGTGGTAAGTTTCATTTTCTCCACCTCCTTTTCTTTTTTGGTGGACTTCTTTTCTTTTGGTAAATTTCATCATTTTAGAGTTACTGAATATAGAAACATATGAACTTTTTCTTTTGGTAACTTTTTGGAGTTCTTGAACATGGGAAAAACAAATGGCATCCAATTTTTATTGGAAATGATTGGCGTCTTTTGTTTTGGTATATTTCATCATCTTGAACAAGGGAAGAAGACATGGCATTGCATAAGTTTGTAACACATCCCTTCGTTGTTATATTATATATAACCTGAATCTATCCATCCATCGTCTCCTCCATCATCTTGATCTTTCTTAAGCTTTCCTGGAACTTAATTTATAGCCAAAACAATGACGAACTTTTTGAGAGTGTCAAAGAACACTTGGCATCCTGCCATGGGAGTTGATGCAACAATCTCCAATTACTTGTTGAATTGGAGATTTTTTCTATGTTGTCTACGGATATTAATATCAGTGGTTATGGCTTTCTGTCTCATAATGAAATCCGGAAGGCCTAATAATCAAAGGACAAGAAACAGAGGAGGAGAGATTAGATATTAGAGAGAGAGAGAGAGAGAGAGAGAGTATTTTAAGTTTAAATTAGATTTTAATTCTTAACTAATTTTTTCTATTTAAATTAGATCTTATGGATTAGAATGTTTTTTGAATAATACCTCCTATAAATGACAAATGCTCAAACTGTATTTTTATTAATTAGCATATTATGTTATATAATTTTTTTTATGTTCTGGTTTGTATAAATTCACATATTATATTATTAGATTAGATTCGTTTTAATTATATTATACTAGAAGCGTACTCGCACAATGCAGCGAGATACATCGTGATTTTAATATTTCATTTTATTTTTTATATCAGTCGATGTTATAATATGACTTTATATGATTTTTAGAAAGCGATGATGTTTTTATTTTTGAATAAAATATATGTTTGAAGATATCTTAAAATTTTGACAAAAATATATCGATATTTGTATCAAATTATACTTGAAATTTCTTATTTCTTTGTGTAATTTTTTAATTCTATTTTTTTATAATTTAATTTATGTACAATAACGAAGTAATTTATATTTGATTTAATAATATAAATTTTTTATAAAGATAATAATTATTTATTTTGTTGGAACTCGATAATTATTCT